ATGTATATTTTGATAACTTGAATTAGCCATTGTCACATAATATTTCTCTTTAGAACTATTTAACTCAACATTTTAAAGTTAATATTTTTTATAATGGAATTAACCTCTAATTTATCAATAATTAATTTTTATTGATCAAGAAAGATGAAATATTTATTATTTTAGAAATTAATATTTGTTTTTGATAACTCTAATTTTCATGAATATTTTTATTAAAAGGTTGTTCTTGTGAAATGGAATGAACCATACCAAAAATTGGCATCATGTGATAGTTCTGGTGTTATAAATGTATGGGCTAAGTTTGATTGTCGTTGGAATGTTGAACTTATCAATGATCGTAATACTAGAGTCACTTATTTTAGTTGGTCCCATGATGGTCGATTGGCACTAATATGTTATCAAGTTAGTATTAAATAAATAATAATGAATTAATTAGAGATTATTTTTGAATATATTCAGTTATATAACTATTTATACCTTTTTGTTATTTAGGATGGGTTTGTTTTGGTTGGTTCTGTTACTGGTCATAGATACTGGTCTTCTATGTTACATCCAGAAGGAACAGTTACTTGTGGTGCTTGGTCCCCGGATGATCAACAAGTATTTTTTTCAATCGTCAATAAATATAAGTTTGTTGGATATTAATAATAATATAATTTTGCACCAAGGTATATTTTGGAACTAGCAGAGGACAAATGAAAGTTTTAGATATTCATGGAGCTCCTGTATCTCAAGTCAACTTATCAGATGATTCTGGAATATCTTCTATGTCTTGGTCTTGTGAAAAGTTTTGCATGAATGAAAATAAAATAAAATCAGATCGTTAGTATATTGAGTAAAATGTATTATGAAAAATAGTAAAAGAAATTATGTTTTTAATGTTTGGATATAATATTTTCAGATTTGTTTAAACACGTTTTAGCACTTTGTTGTAAAAATGGTACTATTCAATTAATGCGACGATTTGATGATCCTGCTCCAGTATTAATACGTACAGGTTTATGTCCTATTTATATGGAATGGTCTAACGCAAAAGAGTTACTTTGTGTTGCTGGTTCAAGACCGGGAAGACTAAGTACTAATGTTGTGCAAATTTATTCTGCTACTGGTCAATTAGTGTATTCCATTAACATGCCTCAATCTTCGGCAAGCTCCCATTTTTAAAATTATTAATAATTATGTACTAAGTAGTTTGATATAATATAACCTTATATTTGTAGGCTGTAGTAACAGCTGTAACATGGGCACACAATGACCGAAGAATTTTTATAGCAACAGGACCAGAAATACATGTTGCTTGTGTATCTGCTTCAGTTGTTCCTTTGTATGTACTTTGTGCATTACGAATGTGTGATGAATCTTTGTTTCCTTCAGATGAAATACTTCCTATTAGTATTCAAGAAATTTTAAATGCTATTTCATCATCTACTATTTATGTGAGCAAATTATTTATCAATATAAAATAATTTTTAAAGTTAAACAAACAAATAAGTAAATTAATAAAACTTTTAGTTTGTATAATACTATAATATAAATTGACAAATAAAAAATATTTTTTAGTGTGAAGTGCCCAAGTTATCAGAATTGCGTCAGTTTGTTAGCAGCTCACCAAAAAATCGTCTATATTGTACAGTCGTACAACATGTTAACGGACCAGAAACTACACCTCCAGTCTGTTATGTTCTATACATGGAATATCTTGGCGGTCTAGTACCATTACTTAAAGGCAAAAGAATAAGTATGCTAAAACCAGAGTTTGTCATCTTTGATCCACAAGTAGATGGTAAATACAAAATACATAAATACATTGTTTTTAATTTCTATTAATTTATTATCAATGATATAATTATTCAATTAATAATGTTTATTCATTATCATAAATGATATACTATAAAAAATATTATACTGTTGCTAATGTTGATTTAAATATATTCATTTTGTTAACGTAATATATATATTGTTTATATAGATACAACATATGCTAATGCACAGATAACTTACAGTAATTTTGGTTGGGATGACTCTGAACCTGAATCTTGCTCTAGCCCCAAGCTTCATCGAAAAAATAGGCACAGATCAAGACCTGCCTGTTGTAATCGAAAATTACAATTAAATTGTTACACCGATGTGTTACCAGAAGTAAAACCATCAGTATAAAAAGTGTTGCATTATCTTATAACCTTTTTAATTTTATTATTGTGTAGGACTATCGTTTGGCAGAAGTTACAGCAAATGTTTGGGGTACAGAATTCCATATCCGTGGGTTATGTGATGATTTGACTCAAAAATTAGGAAGAGTATCATATCGCACATCTATTTTACATTTACAACCTCGTCAAATGACACTCTCTATTGTTGGGGATGGACAATCGATAGAAGATGATTCTCCAACTCCAAAACAACTTCAAAGGCGACGTAGCTGTAGTGTTGGATCATCAAATCCAAAAATTGCTGTTTCCAGAGTAGTCGAAGACTCTAAAGTTTCAGAGACATTTGCTCACAGTTTACCATCTAGTCCAGTTGCAGCTAAAAAGAAAAGTGGTTTATCATCACCTATAAGGTAAAATAATTGTATGGTTATTACTGATTAATGTATTTTATTATTAATTATAAACGATCTTATTTGTTTCTAGAAAACGATTAATGAACTCTCCGTTATTTTTCCGTAAAGTCCTTAGAACTCAAATTGAACCAGATTTTCAAAATTTAGAAACTTTTCAAAAATCTCAAATAAAAAATAAAGTAATTAAAATTATATGAACAAAGTTTAAACTTGTATAATGTTTCTTTTTTTTTTTCAATTTTAGATTGAAATGTGTACCAAAAGACAGCAGTTTGTTATGCAAAACAAAGCACCTATTTGGAATGATTTGACTCAAGTCTACCAGTTGGACTTTGGAGGACGTGTTACTCAAGAATCAGCAAAAAATTTTCAAGTTGAATATGATGGAATACAAGTTATGCAGTTTGGACGCATTGACCGCAATAATTTTGCTCTAGACTTTCAACATCCATTTTCAGCCGTCCAAGCATTTGCAGTTGCACTAGCAAGTGTAACTCAAAGGCTCAAATAAAATGATTGAAACCATGTGCAATTTATTTATGCACTTTTTTTGCAGGTGTGTTTAAGTATTATAATGTGTCAACACTCTGTAAAATTTGTTTGTATTTTTATTATTTAGTGCAATATTTCACAAGTAGGGTTCCTCATTAGTTTTTAATTAACACTTACCTATTTAGTTACAACTGCTTTACTGAACATTCGCTATTGCATTCTTCAACGATAAAAATAATATATTTCTCATATCTTATTATATGTGTTCATATGTATTTCAGCATTACTTTATTAATTACAATAAAAATATTAAATAAAGAATTAATTAAGAGTGTGTTACTTATTATTTCAATTTGACTTCTCAACAATGTGTATTTGTAAACATAAGTATATATAAAAGTTTTTCTATACTTAATATATTTTAATAATTTAGTAAATTCAATGGTATATCCAGTATTTTATAGATCAGGGTTATAAACAATTTTTAGTCTACCAAGTTCTCACAAATACAAACTACAGCCAAAGTGTAGTACATAATATTTTATCACTTTAAAAAGAAAACAAGTATTTTAAAAATGTATAACTATACTTGTATATATATTGGTGATTTTTTGAGAATTTATAAAAACTAGAAAATGTTTTTGAATAATATAAGTTAACACTTAACCAATCATAATATTAGTTTAAAAGAATTTGACATTAGAAACCATGTATATCATTACCATCTACTTGATTATGAATTATGATATTGTGTAATAAGTAGATTGTACAAGTTTATATATAAAATGGAATTAATAAAGTTAAATTTCTAATATCTAGGTTGTTGATCACATACATAAAACTTCATCCAGTTTATGGTTCTGTCCAAATTACCATCTACTAAATATATATATATATATAATATTATTGAAATTTAATATATTTTAATAATTTAAGATTGAGATGCAATCTGAACTTTTTTCAAATAGGCTAATTTTTAAATTCCATTAATGTATTCATTTAAATATAAACTTATGTTTATATATTTCATGGTCAAAATGCATATGTATCTCATAAATAATAAAAATGTAAATTTTAAGTATCTTTGAACACACTTAAAACTAAACATATTACATAATTTGAATTTTGGTTTAATCAAGTGAAGAATAAATAAACAAAATGATAATCAATTATTATAATATTAGCATCAATGATAATACTTATATTGATTTTGTTTACATTATATGTAAATATGTTTACATTGTTTTTGTGCATATCACATAATATTAATTAAATATTAACTTTGAATGTTATGATTATTGTACTATACATCTTGTTATGAATTATTACAAATTATAACAGTTCTTGATTAACTAAAAATAATATTAATCACAAAGCTTATTATCGTTATTAAAAATTATTGGGAAATACAAATAAATATTCCTTGCGCTATGTTATAATTATTTATCATCAATATTTTTTTATATTTAATAAAATTATTATATCATCATTACTAATTACACACATGTTATGTTGTATTTTAAATGTACATTAAAATATTTATAACTAAAAGTTATATTTAATTAATCAGTTGTATGAGGCTAATTGTGTGGAATGGATTAGAATGTTGAACTATGCATAATAATATAGAACAGAGATGACGAGTGGAGCAAAGATGAAAATGCGTAAAGTGACTAATGAGAATAGAGTAATAAAATAATTTATTAGAGGCAATGTAGGAGTGGCATAAATTATGCAAATTAATATAAGTTGAAATGGTTTGGATATGTTACATGGAAAAGTGAAAAGTGTCCAAGGAAATACATTTTGAAGAAAAGAAAATAAGAAAAAACTGAAAAGAAATGGATAGACAGAATAGAGAATTATATATTATAAAGTCCTATGAAGATTAATAACAAAAATGGCCAACCCTATACATAGTTGGGAGCAAAGAAAAAGACAAATATTTGTAAAAAATAGTTTTATTGAATATTGTAATCATACGTTTATACCAACCTATATGAATAAAATTATTTGTATAATTTATTATATTTAAGTTTATTATATATAATTATGTACTATAATATTTGTATTATTAAATGATCTATATCCTCGTTTTAATGCAAGTAATTAAAGGAGGGGTATTACAAGAACATGTTGTTTTGTACGAATTTGAGTCTGATAATGAACCAAAAGTTATAATTTGACCTATTGAAAAACTTAAATCTCCATACTTGCATTTGTAGCCATTAGAGTTACTGGTAGAAGTGGTTTCATCAGCAGTTGCGACATTATACTCAGCTATAAAATATAAGCATAGAATAAAAAATAATATTTTAAAATATAGACAAATCATAAACTGTAGAGTATATTGTAACTTACGATTTAACCATTCAACAGGGCATCCATCTACTTTTTCAAAATAAACAGGTGCACTTTTTATTAAAATATTTTCCATGTATAAAATCTCATAACCACAGCCAACTTCTCTACATGATTTATCACTTAGTGTACCTAAATGTAATTAATACAGTATATCCATTAATTATCTAAATTATTACATTATACATTTACTATTTAATTAATAGTTTATTCATAAAATATGATTAGATAAATTATAATTTTTCTTTAAGTATGATAACAACTTATTTTAAATTTATTTGATTTTAAAACTCACTTTATTCAAAGAACCTTTAGTCAACTATAAATATTGAAGTCTCAGCAAAATATTATTATTTTTTAATTAGGTTATAGGTAGGTAGTGATTTAGTCTTTTTGTTATAATGATTGTTTTAGCTAGTTGTATTTTAATTCTATCAAGGTTAGATTAGGTATATTTTAATTAAACTAATATTCTACACTATCATGAGATTTTAAGAACTGGTCACTATTCTTACAGTGAAGAGAGAAACTTTCTGAAAGTCAAATGAAGGAGGTATCTACAGATTATGGTGCAGCTAGGTACTGCAGAAAATTTTTTCTCTTTAAGATCAATAATTTAGTTTAAAAAAATATAATAGAAAATTAAACATTGATTATTTTTAGTGTCTTTGCAATTTATTTCCATGACTTTGATAGTTTAAATTAAAAAATTTGAATGTTTCAATTTAAATCAATTGATTTCTTACTAACTATTCTATTTTTATTATTCTAAATAATTATCATGTTAAAATTGTTAAAAATTGTACCATTGTAATCATCAATAGATATAGATAGCCAAGGCTAGGAACATCTTATTTAAAAAAAAAAAAATCAATTGATTATTTAAATTTAGCTTTAAATTAGGTAAGTATATGCTTATGTATATATCAAAATATTAAATTAATTAAAATGATGTATTTACCATTAAATTCCGGAGAACACACACATTTTAAATAATCACCAACATAAAATCGTTGACCATTTTTGTAAACCTGATTGTCATACATACATTCATGATCAACTGCTTTTTCTTCAGCTAAAAAATAAATTGAAAACTATCAATTTTATATTTACTTATATTTTCAAAACATTTATAGTTAATTTTAATTTGTTATTTAGAAAACAAAATTAATACATTGTACAACACATTGTTAGGTGATATTCTTAATTATTACTACTTGTTAGAAATATTTAAACATTTGCTAAACTTACGACAGTATTTTTTAACCTCACAGCATGAATCTCTATCATATTGATAATAGCATGGATCTCTTAGTCTTGTGAAGTATGATGGACATTCAACCTTGGCACATGTAAATTTAGTTGAGGTCTTACTGTAAAAATTTGATTTAATATTTATATCAATGTTAAAAAATAAAAATAAATTTTAAAATTTAATTATATTTTCATAAATATAATACGATAATGAAAATAAAAATAATTTGTTATTACAATATTAACTGGATAATTACTAAAGTACCAATACCTATAATATTTAGGGAAATGTTATTAGCATAAATATAATAATAGAATAGACTATAGAGTAAATTTTAATACTCGTCTACCCTAATTTTAAAATTTTTTATTTAAAAATAAATTTAGTTGTTATAACAGTTTTTACAGGTATTATATATACATATTACTATTTAGTATACTTAGAAGATAGGTAGGTACTTAAAATTTAAATTATTCTACCTATGTTAGAAACTTTATAGCTTTTACCTAAATGTTGTCATGTTTGATTTAAAAACCATGAAATTATGTATTTTTTAAATTAAATAAATATAATATAGTAGTTACATACATTATAATATAATATAAATATTGTCATTGTCATACTTTTCATATGTCCTCTGATCACAAAAGCAAGCGGCAAGACATGGGTTTAATGCTGAGTCAGTTTTAGAAAGACTATCAACTGGTTCGTAAACATTTCCATTCAGATAACATTTGTTACTTGGTCTTGTGAACACATTTTCTACACAAAAGTTAAATTTCAATTATAAAATAATAAATATTTTCTTTATGATCTTATACAGCAATTTACCGCAATCATAGGCCACTGGACAAGAATTTGAATCATTACTGTAAATAGGTTTACATCCGATTTCAGTATACAATTTTTTATTACTGACACAACCTTAAACAAAAATATAGATTAAATTATGTATGTCAAATTGTTAAATACTTGTAGTGTATTGTCTATTTATATAGGCACATATACTACTACATTATTAATAATTAATAGATATTTAATAAACTATTTTTACCATTTACATAGCTTGAGTACAAAAATATTAAAAAACTAAGTTTCAAAAAAAACGTCTGAATTTTAATCATTTTAATTGTAATATATGAACAGTATTGTAATACAGTTAAACTAACACTATGATGGACCTATCACCTATGGGAGGTCTTATAGGTCTTACTAAGGTCTAATGTTCAAATGTTGTTTTTATAGGTAGGTACTAATCATAACCAGTTTTATACAAATGACCATGTACCCAATGAATGTCAAGTTATAAGTAACAAATATATGTTTTATGCATACAATTATAAATGGGTGTGTATGGTAGGTAATATAAGTAAGTAGGTACCTATATATCATAATTCATAATTATCATATTATATACTTAAACATTTCTTATATTATAATAAATTTATGAAAGTATATGTTGTATAGGCAGGTATTAATATAAACATGTAGATATATTTTTAAATAACACTTTAAATAAAAAATTAGTTTTAGGCGATTAAGTAAAATCAAAATTTATATAAGTATAGAATACAGATCATTATTCAAATACCTACATCATATGATTCATATTATAAGTTATTGTTATATATCTATAATAAGGTATGTACGTGCAAAAAAATATATAAAATTTAGTACAAGGTACTTGCTAGTTACTACCACTTACTAGCATTGTAAAGTAGCTACCTATATAAATAATTTTAACTTTAAAATACTTATATATTATTTTAAATATTTTTTCAATGCAGGTATCAGTATTTAAATTTAATTTCTTTTTCTTTTTTAGTCAGTAAATTTTCAATTTTATTACGTAAAATTAATAAATATATCATACTATGCGATGAGTGCATTAAATTTAAATTTAATGATATCTATACCATTAGCTAAGTATTTTCATAATCTTTTTTTGTTTTTATAGGTAGCTATTAAAGTCAATAATTTGACTTTTAGTATTCCCATTGATTATAAATAGTACTAGGTATTACGCGTTGAGTTGATTTTTTTCTAAAACATTTCATTTACCTACAAAATTACAAATATTTAATTATTATAATAATATAAATAAAATATATTTATACTATATTATATTATTGTTATTATTAATTTTTAGTGTAATAATATCTAATTGTAAATATTGTAAAAAAAAGTAAATAAGGTTATAATAGCTATAGTTATAACACTTATAACAGTGTTAATAAATAATATCTTAAAAGGACGCTACACCCGTATGTCATGGTGTCTCCGTCTTAAAAATACCTATATACTGATAGCATAGTAAATTGTTCATTCTGAATTACCTATTCATTTAACTCTGACATGTATAATATGACCGTGAAATGACCAGTTATAAATTTTAAAATCAAGATTATTATATGGTGAACCTTATAGACATTTTTTAACATTTTTATTTTAAAATAAGTAATAAACATTTTAAAAATATCTAAAGTTTTTGTACATTTTGAAATGCACATAACTAAGACTAACTTTAAAATAAAAATACTATAATAATAAATAGTTAAATGGATTAATCACATCGAATCAAATAATTTGCTATGCTATGCGCTTGTAAGACGGAGACACTGTATGCGGGTGTACTATGGTGTAGTGTATTAATAAATCCACTACATATTTTGAAAATGTCACATTTATAGTAAAATTTGAATTGTCATAAAATATTATTAACATCATAATTACAATATGTGATTTCATCCAAATTAAAACTTTAAATATGTATAAAAAATAATCGTGTTAATATATTTTATAGTTTTTTAATTTTTTTAATCCTGTATGAACTATTCATGAGGATTATTATTATATTGTGTTAAATTTTCAAGAAAATAATTTAAAAAAACAAAAATTTCTCATTACAAATAGTCAAAATATTTTGAAAATTATAGCATCTAGAGAAAATGATAATAATGTAGTGTAATAAATTACATTAAATAATTGTTCATCTTAAATAAATACTTCCTAAAATCATTTAAATAGATAAAATAATAAACTAATATTAAATTATACATAGCATAGTTAAATACAACTCACTAAACTTTTTTTTCGTAGTTTAAATAACTAATGAGTTATGGAGAACCTTGCATTCAATTTTTCGAGTATGTTTACGAATAGAAAAAAATTTAATAACATTTTTTAAAATATAAATTTACGTAGGTATACAATAAACATTCTATGCTAAACCATAGTAATATGGTTAAATATATATATATATTATTTTAATATATTACTAAACGAAATAATCATAATTATCAATATTTCAGTATTAAGTTATCACTTATAGGTAAGTATTTTATATTTTCAAAAAAATAATATTAAGAAAAAAATTTCAACGCTTCCTGAGAATGGTGCCCGGCCCAGTAATTACTTTTAGTATTTATTATTCATAAGAAATTAAAATACAATTAGGAAGTTCAGGTAGATATTAAATTTTTTATATATTTTTCATTAGTACACTGTAAAAATAACATATTTTATTAGGTTGTATGACATAAGTGTCAAAGGTACAAAAATTACATATCATTTGCGCCAAAATGTGTAGGAAATAAGCGCCAATCTAGTGTTATATACTTGTTATACCCAACGTATTCTATAAGTGCCAAAGGTACCGTTTGATGTTTTGATTTTATAAAAATTGTCAATAATATATTACATACAAATGAATATAACATAGGTGCCAGGTGGCCAACTTGCGGCTCTCGTTATAGTCAGATGAGGCTCGCGTCTTATGTACAAAATCAAAATTTACTTAATATTATCATGAATTTTAATTTTTAGGTATTAGCTTATAAAAATTATCAAATTATTTAAAAATTTTGGCTCTTGGTATCATTGTATTTATCTACATGATGGTCCGCGAATCTATTCATGTTGGCTATCCCTGGAATATAATTTTAATTAATTGGTTGATTTTTTAATCCATTTTTTTTTACATATTTTATAGAAATATACGATTGATTTCACCATTCTAATATTTCTTCCATTGTACAATTATTTCTTTAGGTAAACTTTAATAAAATATTACCGCTGGCCATTTCTCGTAAAAATCTATATTTTTGATCTTTAAATAAAATGCATGTAACACCTTTATAAGTAATAGTTTATGTAAAATTCATTATAATTCATAACAAATGATGCATACACGAATGCTTACGAAATAGGTAGTAAGAACTAAGAAGTAAAAATTAGTTGTAAGACACAAAACTGCACACACATTGTCTATGTGACAACCAGTCGTAATCAGATAATAAATTTGTCGATTAGGATTAAACGTTCGAAGTTTTTGAACGATATACTTAATTCTAAATTTAAATAGCCTACCCAAGTTACCTAGGATTTTGAAGTTTTCGTATGATACGACTTTTTTTGTTCTTGTATTATTTTGGTGTATACTGCTTACCTTTCTTCCATTGTTTTATTGGGACGATCTCTTCAATAATTTTAAATATACTTACAGACAGTGAATCGTACCTACATAGGGTTGCCACCTTTGTAAGATAGCAGCCCCGGAGACGGACCGATAAGTAAAAAAAAAAAGATTATCAGCCAGTATACACCTGTACGAGTATATAGTATTATCATGTACCTCATGTATCACTATGATCTATAATCATAATCTTATTATTTTTATTATCGTGTTATTTATATTATTAGTATAAATTGAATGTATAAGGCATAATAATAAAAACAAGTCTTTACAAACTATTTATAACATTATAACCCGCAGAATAATTCACTAAACCCGTAGATTTATATGTAAACCCAGAGAGGTGACAACCCTAATCGTATCTCGAACACATGTAGTTTGTCAATGGTACATGAAGAAATGAAACAATATTATCAAACCAAAAATGTACATAATATTATGTATTATTGACTAGTGTTACGATTTATATTCGTTACAATTTACACCGGTCTAGGACGTACTTCACAGTTCTATTTATATACCTTCCTTATTATACAAACATCCTGTAGAAAAACTGAAACAAAAGAAATACTCGATGAATCTAATGTCTTACTCTTATAGTTTTATATCGATTAGACTATTAGAGTGTTCAGATTTCATAAGTCGCTGCCACTATAATTTTATTATTATTAATAATATTGTAACAAAACAATTTTTATTAATATGCCTACCTATGTATAATTTGTGTAATAAAATGCACACATAAAAAATAGGTACACACTAACAAATTAGAGTAAATGTATATTATACAGTATAAAAAGAAGGGAGAAAGGGGCGCACCGGGAAAATTCCTGGTATCCCAGTACATACATTCACATTTAAGATTGACCTAATGTCAACACACGTAGTAATTGTTATAGAAAGTATCGAAACTACAAGTGTAATAGTATACCGAGGGTTCTAATGAACTATACATATTAATACATTATGATGTATAGTACTGACTATTTTTAATTTACTTAGCAAAGCCCATTAGGTTTAGTGCAGTCAAAGCTATGAAAATAGATTTTTTAACCAAATTTCAATTTCAATAATTAAATATTTAATATACATATTACATTATATAATGCAAGTATAGGTACGCAATAAATTCATTAAAATACATTTCATACCCTACCTATTGTTTTGGAAAATGACACAATCTTAAAGGTTAATAAAATAGCAAAAAATCTTTGAAAGAAAAAAAAATATGGCACTTTTAAATAACTTGAAAATACATTATCAATTATTATTAGTTAGAATATAAATCTATTCTTAAATCCTTTATCTATTTAAGATTTTTTCTTATCAAAACTATAACAAAACTGCATCTTGAGTTCATCTTTAACTTATATTTTGTATAAACATATAATTTATATGATTACGATTTGGCAAATGTAAACTACAGATGGTTGATTTTGGGGATATAGGTGGTGTCTTGACTGCCTCCAACTAGTCTTAAATCTCGATTACAGTATAAGTTTCAATTTCTAATAACACTAATATAATTTAACTGTATTAATCATAAATTTTCAAAATAAAATAATAAATGTACCAACCACTTAAGGTCATTCTAATTTTAATTATGGCATATTAGATTAAAACAGTTATTGTTAAATAAAAACAAAAACAATATTTACAAAGTTATTTGTATATTTTTTTATGGTCTTTCAATTAAACAGAAAACATGATTAACTCTGTCTGGTTCTGGGCTTAGCTTGGGTTCCTTCACGGAAACCGTTCCTGAAAAAGCAAAAAAAAAAGTTAAAAATAATTACAAGTTGAATTGATTATTATTCATGTGAAGTTTATGCTCATAGAGGGCAAGTACTACCCATTTTAAATGCAGTCATATTATACTAATATTAATAAAATTTAACATCATTGCACAGATCTATAAAACAATATTGAACTTTATAATTAGAGTTGATTGTTAATACTAGATAATTGATGTATAAAAACAGTGTATAGCATACAAATAAATCATAAATATATTGATATAACATAAATATTATTTGTTAATAAGCATGTTAAATTTTAAAGCATATTAAATACAATGTATAGAAGTAAAACCAAATAGGGAAATCTCGGATTTAAAAACATACTGTATATAATACTGAGCATGTTGTGCTCAGAGAGGGCAAGTACTACCCATTTTTAATTCAGTCGTATTAGCGTATATTAATAAAATTTAACATCATAGCACAAATCTTAGACAACGTTGATATGGATTTTAAATAGTTATTCATCAGTTGAGACTAGAGAGATGTACATTAATGTATAACATATAAGTATATTATAACTTTATAAATATAATAATAAAACCTATACTTACTACAATAAAATTTAATAATTTAAGAGCAAATATTATGTTTGAAATTTTCTAGCATATCAAAAATTACTAATATTTTTAAAAATAAAATAAAAGCAACTTGTATCAGTTGGTTAATTCTATGATAAAGTACTGTTTGCAATTACTAGACCATGTTTATAAGCTAGGAGTCATTATTTAAATATAACATAGTAGAAAGACTTAAACGTCAATTGATTTTCTTGGCACCAAATTTATTCACCATAGATGTATTTAACCTTTCGTTGATGACATTATTTGTATAACACTGTTATTGACATGTGAGCAAAATGCTCACCTATTAAAATACACAAGTGAGATTACAAATTTATATACCACGGTACTGATGTATCAGTAATGAACTGCTAAATAATAACAAAATAAAAGAATAGTAACACTAACATATACAGCATTATTAAATTCAATAACTTTGTTAGTTAATTTATAACATTTAATGTTTTTCCATATTCATTTATGTGAATAACTCAATGAAGCATATATATAATGTCAAAATCGAAATATAAACCAGTAGTTTTAAAAATGATAATTAGGTGAGCAAAATGTTCATAGTGTCACCAATGACAGGTTAAAAGCTGAAAGCACTAAATAAAATCTTTCAGAAACTAAATTGAAATCTTGATATTATACAAATCATATAAAATAGCATACTAAAAATATTATCCAGAAAAAAAGGATAATTTAAGAAATATTAAAAGGAAAATATTTTGATTATATTATATAAATATATATAAAGTACTTAATCTTTTAACTTAAAACGAGAAATGAATAGCATAATAATTTTTAAAAATACAAATAGAACTAATTAATGTAAATAAGTATAAATACATAATCTACTACACATTGATATAATGGTAAATAAAAAGTAATACTCAGAGAGGGCAAGTACTACCCATTTTAAATTAAGTCGTATTAGCGTATATTAATTAAATTTAACATCATTGTAAAACTTTTTAACATTATCAAATGTTCCTTATTTTTTATACCTACATTAGAAGTCATTACAATACTCAGTGAGGGCAAGAAGTACCCATATTAAAATAGTCGTATTAGCGTATATTATATTGATCTTTCTGCATCATGTGCATGTAATGATTTAAAGAGGTACAAGTCTTAAAGCAATACTAATAAAATGTTGTGAAATAACTTACCTAAATTTCCTGCGAACAATCTTCAAATGTCTGAGACGGCCAGTTCCGGTGGTCTTCCTACGTTGGGCTTTGACGCTCCAATTGTCTAGAGATAAATTAATACAATAATGACGAAAATTTAGGAAATTGTCTTCATCAGTTTAATATACTTACAATGACGGAGCTTCTTGCTCGGGTATCCACACTGGGCGCACTTGGACTTTTGAATGTGATACGATGAACGTCCACATCGACGACACAGAGTGTGCGTCTTATTGTGACGTTTACCAAAACTCGAAGTACCTTTCGTCTAAAAACACAACAATATCAGCTACAAAACTGTGAAATCCGATTTCGAATTTTAACGATCGTAATCGACAAATTAATGACCGAATGACAAAGAGACGGGCGATGGTTCTAACCAAAGGATTGTTCGAATAAATTCGGATGAAAAAAGAAAAACATTAAGAAACTTACCATTATTCCGAGGACGTGATTCGAAAATGACAACAACCAGCCACTGTACCTGGTCGGACGTGGGGACGTAGGGTAAATGGACGAGTTAACCTAAAACGGCAAACGCGATTTTGGTGGGAGGTCCAGTACAGTGCTACCGGATGTTAAACGACAAATGTACCGAATGTACGAGCACCTTGGAAATGCTCTCACAAGTGTTTTAGTGTCCTTGGAGTATGGAATGTATGGATATCAAACAATCAAACAACCGTTAAAATGAAAAATGAATGAAATTTACAAAAATGTCTTACGATATTTGATAATTTAATTTATTTGTTTTAAAATAATTTAAAATTGTATTTTTATTTTTATTGATTTGTTTTTGTACACTTGTTTGTTGCTATTATTACTGTTAATTTATCACAGTTATGTTCTATTTTGTGTTTTGTTGAAGTGTATGTATTTATGTTGATAGTTAATGTCGATGACCTGTTTTTAGTTTAATTATGGCATATTGTGAAGAAGTAGAATACATGGATATATCGTTAAATTCGGAAAAAAATGAAACAACATCCTTTGGGAAAAAGTTTCATATTAATCGCACTCCAACTCCTCTGAAACCGTCACGTCACTGGTGCATGTCTACAGAACTTTTGCGTTCTCAATACAAGACTAACAATGTACGCAAAAAAAAAGTTTATAATCCTTTTGATGATAATTTAATGCAACGACTGGGTGAAACCACAATCAGCCCTACGGTATTCGCCAATGTGAGAAGTCCAGGACAAGAAGTTGAGTTTGGATGGAATATAGATGATGTATCTAAATTAAACCCAGTGCATATAGAAGATGAATGTATAGTAGATGAGGATCAAGTTGATGATGAAACAGAATCTAAGTTACAAGAGACTATCAATAAGTAATCAAAAATTCATTAGATAGGTACCTATTAGTTAGTGTATTATAATATGCCTTTTGTTATTCATTTTTTTATAGATATTTTTGTTCAACGCATAAAGTTCCTAGCCCTTGGAATAATCAAGTTGTTGATTGGGAAACTCATAAAAATTCATCATCTACACCCATATCAAATAAACAAATCCAGAAATCTGTGTCTTATAGTCGCGAAGGTACTATTATTTAATTTGATTAAAATAAATCTAAAAACATTTAAATATTTTAAATATTTTTCAGTTTCTACACAAACAAATTTAAGTTTTCCTTCCATATTACCTGATCATGTTGAAGAAATACTAAAACCATACTTCTTGAATTCAGTAAAATACTCTTACCTCATATACTTTCTTAATATATAATTTATAATATATTTTTTCTCAATTTGTATAGACTAAAAAATATGAAGAAGAAATAAGTCCTACAAAAGACAACTCAAATTTACGCCGCAAATTATTTTTTATGAATGATAACGATGACCCAATTTCTCCAGTAGGAATGTAAGTGTGATGTGTTTAATTAAAGCAAATTATTTTCATGCTTAATTTTTTTAATTGATTTTTATAGACGCAGAAATCTGTCAGTTAGCCCATTAACAAAGAGTTTTATTAAAACCATTAATTCAAAAGGACCAGTACTTGGAAATCATTTAGGCGTACAAGAACTACCTAAAGACTGTCATATTCCTATTGATGTATCTCCAATAATAAATAAAAACGATAGGGAAAATACTCCCCCCAACCATAAAAGTAAGTAATTTAAGACATGTTATCGCTTTACATTTTCTTAATTATATTGTCGACTTTAAATGATTAAACATTTTTGGTAACTTGTATGAATAATTATTAGTATTTAGTCAAACTTTAAATTTTAATATCAAATCAAGTTTTGAGTTTTATTTTTGAATCAAGCCTAGACTCATTTTTGTCATTTAATTTTTCATATAATATATAAACTAACCATAATGACAATACTTTTTACATATTATTCTGCTTTTAAATATATATTGTATTAATTATACTTAAACCATCGAAATAATGCTATTGCAGGATATTACTATATGTTCAACCCAAAAAGATTTTTTTTATTAAAAATAAATAAACAAACCACTTTCTCTAATCTTCAATATTTTTAATAAGTATATATTTTCAGTATTTTAACTTGAAGTTATAATAGCCAATAAATCTGGTTTGACGAATATTTACAAGAATTTTGGGCAATACTAAATACTAAATAGTTTGATATAAATTTTTTTAACATTGAGGTGTTGGTTTGGTTAAGATTTAAAATTTGGTTTATTATTAATAATTTATTGATAATTATAAAAGTTATAAAATCATTGTATGTTCTTTAAAATTGTTTCAATTAAATAACAATTGGTGTATTTTATTTTTTTTATAGACAAAGATTTTATTTTTTTGACTCCGGTATCTACAATGTCAATGCCGAAACGTCGACGCACTGAAAAAAGTAGTTTAATGATGGAAAACAGCTCAGATACTGGTTACCAAACTATGACTATGAGCATTAAGGAAATGTCTAGTATGGTACCATTTGGAAATAGTTCCAAAAATATAATGTTTACTGCATCTACGCCCACAGAACGATGATTCTGAATAATGATGGTATACATTTTTTTTTTAATCGCTTTTTAACATTAACTATTGGTACATTTTACATTTTTGTAATCAGGACAAACTTAAAGTCAATCATTAGAATGATTAAATACTTATCCTTTATTAGTATACGTAACTGTGATGATTTTAGTATCCATTTTATGAAAACAAAATTGTTAACCTGTCCTTTTTTTATAATTCAAACAAGTTTATAAAAAAAAATAAAAGCTATTATAGACTATTGATTTACTATGTTTTATAGAAGACAAAAAATATTTGTCATATTATATATAACATAAATCAAATATTAGTTAATTGTACTATGTTACTTTGCAATTTTTTTTTTCTTCGTGTGATACTATAGCTATGAAATGTTATCACTTGTTAGAACTAAACATATTTTTCACTAGTTATTCGTAATGCAATTAATGTAATTTTTTTATTAAAACAACTTATTTTATTAAAAAAAAATTTTAATTCATATAACTATGTTTCAAATGACATTAAACAATAAAAATATATTTATATTATAGTTTGGTATAGTGAATAACTTAAAAGACATGGAATGAATATTTTTCCGAAATATAGAGTTATAATAAAACAACAAAACAATATATATATTTTACTTCCTAGTTACATTGACATTTTTACATAGGATCAATAATAATATAATTTCTTCTCTGGGATTAATATTTAATCAATTTTATCATAAAATAAGAAAATATACCTTGTCTATGTTTTCTTTTTGTGGTTTACTAAAAGATTAAGCTCATTATTTTATTCTGATGACATGCGTTTAAAGACTAAATCCCAAGATGCAGCACACTGTAACACAATTAATTAGTAACATTAAAAAAACTGTTTTGAATACTATTGTTATCTATACTAACATGTTGATAATACTGTATATGGCTTTCGGCTAAGGCAGTTAGCATGCTTTTGAAATCTGCTTTTTTTTGGCACTTCCACAGTCCATACTCTTGCCTGAACACATTACTACAAACATCCAACCGTTCCTGGTTAGCTTCAACGGCTGACACTAATTTAGGGATAACTTGACTCATCTTTTCTATTTTTTCTTCTTTATCTATTTCTGATTTTGACCAGAATGACATTAATGGTTTTTCATCGTTAGTTACCTAATGTATATTCAAGAATTATAATCATTTACTAAAATATATAAGACAAAATTTACCCTATCTTTGTCAGCCTTCTTCTTCTCTAAATCCATAAGAGATTGCTCATACTGTATTTGCAGTGCATCTCTTTTACCTAGCGTTTCTCGGACACATTCTATATAGCTAACATAATCCTTCAGTGGCTGTCGAAACAAATCATTAGAATTATTGTATTACTATTTTTGTTTTATTCAATTACCTGTGCCCAGTCACTTATAAAGTTTGATATTAAATTATGGCGTAAAGCAGAACTATTGGCTGTGATAGTATGACCAATGCGGGATAGTGCAACAGAGATAGATTGTTCATTAGAAGACCATTCAATGAATGCTGCTCCAAGTTGGTGAGATTCCACACACAGTTCTAAAAATAAGAAAATTGTTTAAAAATGTTTTTAATTTTAAATTATAATAAAACATTAAAAACCTTTTCTTTCTTTGTGGATTCTCTGAGCTACTTTTTCTAACATGGCTAACTTCTCAGATAGACCATGAAGATGATTTCTGATGGGATCAAACTCAAAATCTACCTGTCTTGAATTATATGACACAGAAATGGTATTTAGACTGTTTGACATACGTCTTAGTAGTCCTGTTCCACGTTTTTTGTATGTGGTGAATTCCTAAAATCAAGAATATATAATCAATTTTTTTTTTTAAAACTTATTCAAACAAATTTACTACAATCTTTCTAATATTTTTAAATTTAATTCATAGAAATGCATCAAAATAGTTTTGAAGGTCATTTTTTTATATAATAAAGTGTTCATACGGTAGCATTTGCAGTTAAAAAAACTCTTAGATGTTTATCTTCTGTAAGAATAGGATGACAAACTAAACGTGTCAAAAAACGTTCCAACAATATCATTCGGCATGTGACAAATTCTTTTGAATACCTGTCTAACTGACCAAGAATTGTATGTTTTGCTGGTAAAGGCTATAAATAAAAACAATGTTAAAACTAAAAAAGAAACTTGTGTGAAGAAAAAAAACCTTACAGGCACTATACGATCAGGATATTCAACAGCAATGTTTTGTCTCAGCCATATAAAATCATTGTAACGTCGGCGAATAACATACTCTTTGTGAGGATAATCTGTTCTATCCGCCTAAAACAAACTAGGTCAAATATTTTACACCATTGTGAGAGTATCAAATTTTACCTTAGTAGATACTCTATATGTGATATAAGTCTCCAATGGTTCAACAATCTTTTGTGGATTGTCAACCCGTACTTGAATATCGCGTCGAAAGTCTAATTTGAGTTGAAAGTCATTGGTGTTTGTTGGAAACGAGACTAACTAGAAACCATAGTTTTAAATTAATAACTACCAGTCTTTAATATAAAATACATTTACCGTAGAAGTATCATTTAGAAGAGTCTGAGGCATTGGAGTAACGCCTTTTTCTTCGACAGACACTTCAAGTACCGCAGAATTCTGATCAGTCATCATTTCATCGGGTTCGGAATTATCCGACAGCTGAAATTCATGTTTTTATTTACAATCATCATTCGTTTTTGCAGAAAAATAATAATAACAATGAATAAGACGTATAGCGTTCCCGAGGCTAGCGTAAGTATATTTCAAAAAAACCGTCCGACACTCAGACTTTAAGTTTTATCATTATCATCATTTTGACATTTTCCCAAGTATTTACATGCAATTTAAACATAACCTTGAAAGTGTTATTAACGCGACATTATCAATCTATTTAATTATTGATAACTCTCAACAGTCAACCACACTTGAAAATGACTCACTGAATGGACTGACGGAGATCTGATAGAGATCACGAATCAAGAAACCAAATAAAAATAATAATATAATTATAGTGTACTACATATTTTACATCCATTACTATAACGATTAACAATGACGTATTAAAATCACAAATCGTATTAATTTTTATTGTTTTGCAATCATTATTGTCGGTAAGTGCTTGGGCGTTGTACGAGGGCGCGCACTCGCGTTTGTGTTTAATTGTACTACAGCTGTTGTGTTTATTAGATTTAACGACTCACGAACAAATATTAAAGTAATTATTATTATCTGAATGGTTGTCGGTTAAACATAGACACATAGTACGATCATTGTAATTTAGAAAAATATAATAACGCGTCGAAACCAACTGTAGTTGCCGCTTTTATTTTATTGTTTCTGAGTCTATAATATGATATAGACGTATTAAGATAGTTAAATAATATTATTATTGTATTGTAGACTGTAGAGATAGCTAATGCCTAATAATGTTTTAATACAAATATGGTTGTCGCAATTTATCATTCATCTGCAATATAATAATATAATGATAGATTTTTTATAAATTAATAGTGATGATAAAAAAGATAAAACTGAAAAGAACAAACAAAAGTTATTTGTTTATTGTGGTAGTATATTAGGTACTTAGAATACGGGCTTAATATCTTCCAATAGTTCCAATGTTCCTATAAATTATAAACAGAATTCCCATGTATACGAATTTGAATTCAAGTCATTCAAACCATACAGTACCTATAATGTATTTTATTTCGTCCTGCTAAAAAATTTTAATACACCCCCGCAAAATCGTAAAAATACAATTTTCCAATGCGCATGATCAGTATCGTATATACGAAAAGTATTTGAAAAAATGCTTCAATCTTCAACTTGATGTGTGGTTTCTGATAAACAATTGGATTGATTTATAAGTTTGTACTTATAGAGGTTAAAAATAAAAATTGTCATTATTAAAAATAAAAAAAATCATTAGTCAAGTGCATTAAGTGTGAAGTGTATTTATGTTTAAATCAAAAAAATAATTGTTTTATTAAAAACAATTATAATAATTATAATAATATAATATTATTATTATATTATTATATTATTTTTTTTTTGTTTTTTTTTTTTATATTGTCACATTTTTAACATATCGACACGTATTTAATTTTATTTAATAAGTAGTTAAAATGTACTTTATATTATAGCGGACCTTTCATAAGTTTTTTTTTTTAAGCACATTAAAAGTCCAAAGGACCATCGTTTCTATATATTTAAAAAAATTATGGTGAGTGTATTCGCAAGAGTCCAAGCACCTTCTTAACTGTACAAATGAATAGTAATTAAACATTACTAATATATTAATAGTATAATTATACATTCAATTTGATGCAGTACCCAGTAGGGTGTAGTTGAAATTTTACAAAATGATTGCATGTACGTGCAAAGAAGAGTTTAATGTTTAGCTACCCCATTGTGTGCACTTAGTAATATAATTACCATGTATTTTTAAACGTATTTGATAAACATTTTTAGAGACTTATTGGTTATAGATATACTTCTTACAATCTTACAGTATATTTAAATCATACATTTAGCTAATTAGCCTAACCTAACCTTTGGGACGATAAACAAATAGGTATAATTTTTCGTTTTTCTATAGGTACCTTATAGCTGAGTAAAATTACTAGTTACCTATTGTATTTACAATTTAAAGTATATAGCTAGTTATTGGTACGCAAAATAGATATATAACTATTAAAAATCACAATCTACAATAAAAGTTTAAATATGTATTACACAGTGTAATACTGTAATTTATAATATAATATTATATATTGTGTGGAAATACACATCGCTAATCACTGTCAATCTATACTCAGTAGGGTGTCGGGTTTGTATGTGTAAACATTATGTAGTAGGTATTAGGTATAACTCAGTATAAGTACTATGTACCTATACATCATGATAGCGGGATAAATACATAATAAATATAAGCTTAGTAGGTGTAATAAATGTATACAATTGTAATTAATATACCAATAAATCCGAGCGGACTGACCTGCTATAGCCACCCATATGCATATCTACTTAGCGCGCATGTTAAGTAAATAGCACACGACCACATGAGTACACACTGTACACAGCTATCACTTAAAAAATATTTACTATATTGTTTTTAGAATATCTGTTCAAGATAATCTAAGCAAATAATTTGCCAATATTGTAAATGTAATTTGCACAAAATTAAAAAAAGTATTAGTTTATTTTTGTGGGTACCTGCGTACACGTAGGGCAGGGT